CGGTTTGGTACAGGGGTAATGTTGTAATTACATATTGTGCCTAGGTTTACTCCTGAGGTTATAAATAGGCCTGTTAGTAACCCCAGGAGATATCCTCTATTCTGTAACCCTTTTCTGAATATTGAAAGGAACTCGCCGCTCTGCTCCCGAGGACTCGTTAAATCTCTGTGTTCTTCTGGATTTGTGTCGATTACTGTTTTTCTTCGCCTTTATTTTCTCAACAGGCACTTAGGCACCCACTACAAACGTTGGGGCACCCGCTTCCAGTGTGCTTGGTGCTCAGGCGCCCAAAATCGTTCGCCTATGTGCTCGGAGTAGTTAACACCGGATTTCAATTGAAGTCCTGATCTTAAGCGGCGTAAGTGCTTCTGTTGTGCTCTTCAATCGTGTTTCTCCCGGTGAAGTGAGAAGAGTTGACAATGTGGATTTGATAATTCAACGCGATTCTTGGGTTAGATTAGCATAAGGAAGATATTGGAGCAAGTCCTGTAATTTTATGTAGAGGAAATTGGTGCAAGTTCTTCATAAAATTCTTTGATTTCATAGTAATTTTTTTTGGTAATGTGGCTTAGTGGTTTCCGTTCTCATGTTTTTCCATGTTAAATTCTTGTGCTTTTATGGTTTGCTTTGATTGTGCTTCCATTTAGATTTTATTCAATTTTTTTCTGGAGTTTGTGTGATTTTATTATTCTGGTTTATTTTCTATTTGAACCTAAGCAAAGTTGGAAATTGCTCTCCATATTCCTGGTTTATTTTCTATTTGAACCCAAGCAAAGTTGGAAATTACTCTCTAAATTCCTATCATCATGTTTAAAATGGCTCTTGTTCGACTCCATGCAAACTCGTTCATTCAAATTAAGCTCATGTTCTACTCAAACTTAACGCCTCGTTGGACTAAAAATATGATTAATTAAATTATTATTATTAAATTAGAAATTTAATTATTTCTAATGAATATAATTAACAATATCATATCTCTTATATTTCCCCACGGTTTAGATGCTTCCCTCCCAAAAGGTTCAACATTTATTGGAGATGTATGGTTCTTGCTTTTGTAGAACTTTTCTCAGAGTAACTTTCCTCCGTTCCATTTTTGGGACCAAGGAATGCTCAACCAGCTTGAGATTGCGGTATTTTAGGGGCATTTACATATATACCATCCAAATGCTTTGTATTTACATATGTAACACCAAAACTTATATTTTTATAATTACAACACCCAAATGATTTTTAAAAATAATAAAATAGAATATTTATAAAGCACATAAAAAAATGATTGCAGTAGAGGTTTAAACATGAAAAAAATCAATTTTTTGGTCAATTAGGCTTATTTCCTATGTGGCGTACGATTGCAAGCTAATGACAACTTCAGTGATGGGAGGGAGGTAGTTAATATATAACAAAATAAGAGGAGAATCAGTGATCTATAATAGCACTAAAAAATTAACAATAATATATTGATTAATAATTTGTTCTTAAGAAGTTTACATATTTTTATCTTTGGACTAAGGAAAGAAAACCATCACTTTCCAAGTTTGATCATTACATCCCTTCTTAAATCATCTAAACAGTTTGAAGGATCTAAGCTAAGTTTCATAGGAAGCAAATCTCGCCTTTATTAAAGATCGGATACAGGAAAAGTAGGTACTTAGCGGCATTCATTATGTTTTGAAGTAGCATTAGTTAGGCTTTAACTACATTGATCGCCGTATTATTATTATATGCAAAATAAATAAAATATTATTGATGCGTGCAAACAAAAAAAAAGCCAAGAAGATAACCGAGTTCATGATTTCATTTGTCTTTGTTCTTTTAAATACTACACACAAGTAGTTGGGTAGATGGCAAAACCGAGTCGGAATTTTTTAATTCGGAAATGGAAGTTGAAAAACTATGTGGCTTTGTCCAGTTAAATAGCTTACCATGAAAAAAAAAAATTATATATATATATATATATATACATATATTTTTTATTAATTATTTTTAAATGAGCTAGCTTACGAGCTAATGAGTCGAGTCAGGGTCGGCTTTAGGATGTCTTGCGAGCTTGCCTTGCTAGCTCATCGTGTTCGGTTCATGAGCCACTTAACGAGTCAAGCTCAATTCGGCTCAAGAGTCGGCCTGACACACTTACACCCCTAGTAGGTCAACATAGGTAACTTGTGAATCTTTTGGGTAGATAAACAAAATTGTGCAGGACAATAATTAAAATGTAGAGATGAACAAAATTTTTATGATGAACTTCGAGGGCATAGGTCGTGGCTCTTGTAGAGAATTCTAGTCACGATAATGATTGCAACAAAGAATAAGATTAGCGAGCATGTTTACTTGCAAGTGATGTTCGTGATCCAAGTTTAGCTGCAGTGCAAATCTTGTTGTAAACAATGGTTAGTCTGACTGCAACGTTAATCAGTGGTGATTGATTAAATTGAAAATTCTTATTTTAAAATATTTGATGTCTCTAAATCAAAATTTCCAAAAAAAAATAAATGTTCATTTTATATGAATATTTTCTCTTCGACAAAGGATTCATGGTACAATGTTTGAATCTAGCACTGTAGAGTAACAAAGCAACAAACAGGATGAGCTATCCTACCAAAATATGTTATTACAGTAAATTAAGTTCTTAACAATCTTAAAAATCAAATTGCATCACTGACAAGACAACATTAAATCATAAAAAGGCAATTTCATGCGGCGATATGAATGGAGCAGGAGCTGCTGAACTTGAAACAAAACAGTCTGTGTACAGAACCATTTTCCCAATGCTGGAATATCTGATATGCACCTAAGTCGCCTGCAGCTGTAATCAACAACCATCAAACAAGGCAATGATTCGACAAGCAAATTCAAGCCAAACTCATCTGAAAGACCGCTGAATCTCCTCAAGGGTTCTTCCCTTGGTCTCTGGCACCCAGATTATTACAAAAACCAGAGTAAATACAGACAATACAGCATAAAGTGCAAAGGTTCCTATCACATAACAATCAATAATCATATCAGTAGCTAAACTATATTAAGAAACAGGAAATAAGAGGAAAGAGGGAAACCTCCACTGCTCCAATTCAGAAGTAAGGTAGCAGTCATTGTGACAATCCAAGATGTCAACCAGTTGGCTAATGTAGCCACGCTGCCAGCAAGGCCTTTGATATTAACTGGGAGAATCTGCAATAACATAAAAGTTTTTGAGCATCAGGAGTCCATGGAAATTATTTTTTATAAAGTTTTTAAGTAATAAATACATGAATATTGCAGCAACATAAAAGGTTTCGGGCCTATTGTTAATATTATTCCAGTATTCATTCCTGCACTGAAAGGGGTAAACCCGCAGCGCATATTTGATTCTTTCTTATAGACATGGTGTTCAAAAATACTGAATTAAGCCCATGTTAAGAGAGGAGTAGCACAGGTGTGAGGAATCTGAATCAGTAGGAGAAATAATTTTGCTATAACAAAGAAAGAAACAACACAAAGAAGAGGAAGTTCCATCTTATGCTCAATACTGCACAAAAAGCAAAGTAAAAAATTTGAAAACATAATGAAAAAAAAATGGCCAACATTACATGGTTAGTCAAATGGCATTGGAGAACTTATTTTACTAAAAGCTTACAATGAAATCATATTAAACACAAAAAATTAACAAAAATATATCTTGATTACCTCAGACATAATGATCCATGGAATGGCTCCAAGCCCAAGTGAGAAGGAAATGACAAAAGCCTGATAGAAAAGAAAAGGAACAATCTTATCCCAAAAAGAAAAAAGGGAGAAAACAGCAGTGCTCTATGAAAAAAACATACCACAAGTCCAACCAAAGCAAGCACACTCAGCACAAAATGCAACTGAGAATCCACCGCAACAATATCCTGCAATAAATGAAGTATAACAGATATGAGAACATTTTAATCCATCCAATCACAAAATGAAAAAAACAACGGTAAATGAACTCGAATTAACATGCAACAAATGATCAACACAAATGATAAACTCATATGAAAATAGCAAGAATTTTGATAAGTTGTCTTCACAAAATAGTAAATTGATCTCACCTCCAAAAAGAATGATACCGCAACAAGGATAAGAGTGGCTGACATCCCAGAAGTGGAGATCTGTATTCAGAAATATAATAACATGCTCTCAAATGCGAAATAAAGTCAGTCCTGAATAAGAAAGAAAACAATTCCGCTATCCAACTCACTATGAGGAAAATTCGACGCCCGGCTTTATCCAATAACCATGTGTTGATAACAGTTACAATGACCTGAAAAACATTGATTATTTTCTTATTTTATTTTTTGGTACTATTCAGGATCAAAATACAACTTATTACCTGAATTGCCCCGAGCCCACATGTAACTATATTACTTGATGAAATCCCTGTTAGACGTAAAGATATCAAGCAAGCAATAACATTTATAACAGATGTTTTAATACTAGTAAATTAGAAATCACAAAGCCGGAAGCAAAATCAAATGAGAAGTTGTTCCTGGATAGCTACTGAGAAGACGAATAGAATTAAGACCAGAATGTCTTATATTGAATATTAGTACAAAATGAGAAAATTCAAGAGCTATATTAAACAAGTGTAAAAGGCCTAAAACAATAAAAAGTTAAATTGAAGAGATATATGTTAATGATGGACAGCTGCACATGCTGGAAGGTGCACTATGTAAATGAGGAAGCACCACAGAAGAGGAAAAAACACGCAATTGAAACTACGGATGGCAGGTGTCCCCTTTAGTGATCCAATGACCTCGATCCTTATTCAGAATTCCCGAGGTGCCCCCGCAAGAGTTAGGCATGCAACCACCTTCGACATATGTTTAGAGATAATAGCATTGCCTTTGCGGGCCTCCTCGAAATCATGGTTGAAAATTTAAGCTGATCGAAAATTGATAAAAAGGTGGGCAAACAATGGGACTTTTATCATCAGCCTGCCCAATAAATTGGGGGAAGTTCTTGTCCTGTGGCATAAACCAAGCACTAGCTTCCATGTTATAGCTAAGAGTCACCAATGCATTATTGGTCATGCAACCCTTGCTGATCAAAGCAAATGGCGCATAGTGACTATTTACGCTAGTGAGGACTACCTTGTTAGAGAAGAGAATTATGGTGACTCATATCCACTCATATAGACAGCTCAATCCCCACGCTTGTTGGTGGGGATTATAACTGCATTCTTTCGCAAAAAGATAAAAAAAATGGCAAATCATTCAAATATACCCACGTTGTATGGAAGAATGCATGATGGTTAATGATATGCAGGACTTGGGCTTCTTGGGACCAAAATTTAAATTATCCAATAATAAGACTGGGAATAGTAAAATTTCGGTGCGTGGTGATCATGTTCTCACCAACACTAAGCGCCTTATATTTCTCAAAAAAAAAAAAAACAAAAAAAAAACACACGAAGGGCCTTATGGCTGCTCCTTGAGGCCAAGTGCAACGCCTTCGTATCAAGGATGATTGGCTTTCACATCCAGCAGCGTTGCACATTGTGCAACAAAAATGGGCCAAGCATGATTTTGGCTCTGCTGCCACTAGTCTTCACCACAAATGCGCCTGGACCATGAAAGCCCTTTTTCATCGGAGTAAAAATAAAACGGGCCATCCTTGCCCGCATCAACTCTTGGTAGAAGCAACGAGCCAAGAGCTGGTGGCTTAAGAAGGGAGACATGAATTCACATTATTTTCATATTGTTGCCTCGGCTAGAAGAAGATCTAACATTATCAAATGTATTATTGAGAATAATGGCAATGAGACGGATAATCCTGAAAAAATATTTGATATTTTCTACCTGTTTTTTCACACTAAGTTGAGCTTTAAGCAACCGAAGCTTTCGAATTGGCCTAGCTTTGATGCTATTCATCCTAAGTTTAATTAGTGACCACATCAAATTCCTCTGTCCTAAAATTCGGGAAGAGGAAATCTGAAAAGCCATTCATTTAATGGGCCCGAATTGATCTCCTAGACAGATAGCACTACTACTCTTATACCATGCAAATGTCCTGTAGGTTGTCTACTTCCCTACAAACTTTTCTACATTATTAAATCTTTCACCTACCTACAGAAACTGCAGAAACTATAGTCAAAGACAACCGTAGTCAACTAGAAATATCTCTAAATACTCTTGGGGATGAAGACTTCAAGCTCTACATCATAAAATATCTTCCCCGAACATTGCTTAATAATTTCAAATCCAATTCAAACAAAATTGAAATCCATGTTTCAACTTGAGGGAGAGTTTTATAAGTTAGTATTGATTTACTTCCTTTATGGTTATTTCCTATGTTATGTTAGAAGTTATTTATTTTCTTTCCGGCTATTTCCTAGTTTATGTATTTCCTAGTTTATAGCTCTCCTTTTATCTCTTAGTAGTTATTAGGAATAATTTAATCCTACAGATCTCTATGTTATGTCTCTCCTATTTATAATTATTGTATCATGTATTTATACATTTTTATTATATCAATAAAACTATTATGTTGAATTCTCAAAACTAACATATTATCAGAGCCTTGAAATAAACCCTAGACTCACTGGCAGAGGAAAACTTCCTATTCCCTGTAGCCAGACCTGTCTCTTTACAGGGCTCTAGCCGTCGAAACTCCTTCCTCTAAAGTTTCCGACGACCACCAAAACTCCTCTTTCTGCAAGCCCTAGCCATCTAAACTCCTTGCAGGAACTAGTCGTTGGAATTCACTCCCTATAGGTATAAGTCACATGTTCAGCATCATTGCCAACTCGATGACATTTCTCGCCACTCGCACAGCTGCACTTGGTATCAACTTTATTGCCTTTCACAATGAACAATCAGCCCAGGTTGCATGCAGGTGTCTCACATCTCGTCCAGGTGTCTATTGGCCCATGCTACACCGCTTCTGCCTATGGCTACCTCACATCCCGTCTAGGTGTCTCCCTTATCGTCTTTGGCCCAAGTTGTGTGGACAGACTTGCTGGTCTCTCCAACTCCGCACTGAACTCCTGATCGCTTGTCATGATCTCTAAATCTTGCGATCAGAAAGACTTCGGAAAGAATAATTTTCAAGAGCTCGAATTAGATCGTCGTCATCCAACCACGTGTCAAATTAAGCCACAAAGATCTCCCATATTCTCTTGATTGTTCTATCTGTATTAAGGCACACTATCGACGGAAGGCCCAAAAGTTGCTATTTAGACCTCCCCACGGATGTCGTGCATGAGAAGATTTCTTAAGAGGATGCCGCTTTGTTACTTTCCGAAGCAGAAGACCCCGAGGATAAGGGACTGGAGATAATGTTAGTCCCTTGGATATTGAGAAAGCTATTATGTTTTCTTAGAAAGGCCGATAGGGCACTTCTTATGTTTGACAAAGAGGCGGCCTATGCTCGTGCAGAAAATTCCCTAAAGAGATTGATTGAGACAATTGGTATTACTTTCTTCCCTGCGACAATAAGGAAAGGTTTATTGCTTGATACTCATGAGCATGTAGCGACTGCTGCAAGATCACTTGCCATTGGCAGTTGTGATGTTGCGCTGGTAGTAGGTGCACGTCAAAACTGGATGCTGCACTTTGGGGAGCCGCCCAGGTGGTGTAGTGAGGTAAAATTTATTCTAGTGGATGTATCCAAGGAGGAGATTGAGTTGAGGAAGCCATAACTTGGTTTGGTTGAAGATGTTGGCATGGTTTTGGATTTCATCAACAAGGAGCTTAAGGATGATCCTTTCTATCTGGGGAAGCGCATCTTTGGGTGGTGGCTATTTCCAAAAAGGAAAAAGATAAATTAGCGAAGATGGAAATACAGTTTGCTTCCATTTAACTTCTTTGCAACTATAAGGATGATAAGGTATGCAATTCTTGCTCAAGGAAGCCCAGCTCCAATATTGGCGTCAATAGGTGCGAACACCATGGATGTCAGAAGAGTTGTGCTAGTACTAAATGAGCCAAAAACAAGGTTAGACGCAGGAACATGAGGAACGAAGGGGATTGGCTTGGGTTATTGCATTGTTGTTGCGTTTGCTTCACCTGACAGGTTTGTGGTTGTTGTTGAAGAGAACTCGACTTTTGGATTCAATGCTATGGAAGTTGAAACATTGGTGAGGTACCAGTTACATGTTCTGGTTATTTTTTTTAACAATAGCGATGTTTATGGTGGTGACCGAAGAAATCCTGATAAAAGAAGTGATTCATGCAAGGACGATCCTGTTCCTACTTCATTTGTCCCCAAAAAGCCATCTTGCAAAGAAAGAATGGCTCTAACGATAAGGTTTTTCTATAGCAGACCCTCCTCCAAAGCTTTTACCTACAACAGACTCTCTTCTAGAGTTTTTCCCTATAGGCCATCCTCCGAAGTTTTTTCTTGCAATAGACCCTCGTTCGGAATTCTTTCCTGCAGCAGACCCTCCTCCAGAGCTTTTCCATACAACAGACTCTTCTCCAAGGCTTTTTTCCTACAGCAAGCCCTCCTTTCTCTGCAGGTGTTCTTCCCTTTTATCTGTAAGCCATACGCTGAAAATTTCCCTGTAGGTATTTTTTTCTTTTTTTCTGCAAGCCATACCTTGTAGCTTTCGCTATTGGTGTTCTTTATTATTTTCCATGCAGGTGTTCTTTTTTTCTACCTGCAAGTCCTACTCTATAGTTTTCTCAGCGGGTGTTCATTTTTTTTTAACCTACAAATTATACCCTGCAACTTTCCCGAGCTCTTTTTTTTTTCTCTTTTTTTTTCTGTAGACCATACCGTGCAGTTTTTCCTGTAGGTTATTTATTTTCCTGCAAACTTTCCTACAACATTACCTGTAGAAGTCTTCCGCCAACCAACAAAAACCACATAAACTGCAGTCAAAGACAACTGTAGTCAACTACAAGTATCTCTAAATGTTCTTGGGGATAAAAACTTCAAGTCTTACCTCACAAAATATCTTCCCCGCATATTGTTTGATGATTTCAAATCTAAGTTGAATATGATTGACATCTATGTTTCACCTTGAAAATGAGTGTTAGAAGTTATTAGTACTGATTTGATTCATTTCCGGTTATTTCTTATGTTATATTAGAAGTTATTTATTTCCTTTCCCTCTATTTCCTAGTTTATGTATTTCCTACTTTATGATTTTCCTTTTATCTTTAGGTAGTTATTAAGAATTAGTTTGATCTTAGAGATTTGTATGTTGTCTTTCCTATTTTATAACTCTTGTATCCTGCATTTATACTCCTTTTGATATCAATAAAATTATTCTACCGAATCCTCAAAAATTAATAGTTTCCAATATTCTTAAAGAATTCTTCATTACTAATATTATGTTGGAATACTAAAAAGAGACTTCCGCAGTCTTAATTCCTAAGGAAGAGGATGTTTTCGCACCATCTAAGTTTCAGCTAATCACTTTAGGTTATACT